AGTCGGACGCTTAACCGACTGTGCCACCCAGGCGCCCCGGGGCTGACTTTCAAAGAGATGACCCTCGGGAATAAATGAATAAATGGTGTGTAGCTACCACAAAGACGGCAGCTGGGAATAAACACATAAAAGTCTAACTAAATCTACCAAGGGGGGCGCTGTTTCACTTCTCCACATTTGGGACCGCCAGCAGTAAGATCCCTTTCCCTTGTGCAACAGGCTTTGGGAGGGTTTCCTTCCTCCTACCAATCGTGAGAGTAAAGCACAGCCTTGGGCAACATTGTGCATTTCCTCCATTTATCTGAAAGAAAGGCCAAGCACGGTAAAATTGAGAAAAACTGAAGTTTGCAGGGAAAAACCCGGGGCCGTGACCAGAGTGAGGGCGAATCGGTCCTCCCATCTGCTGGTTAAGCACGGACGGGAGTAGCCTTTCTAGAGGGCGACTTGTTGGTGTCCATCCAAGCAAAGAATACACAGTCCTCTGGCCGCTGGTTTATTCAGAGAATTCACACCACCAGTGTCCCCACAGAGTGAAGTGAAAAATGTGGTCAGAGCTGCTGTGGTGTTACTTGTGAGAGCGAGACCTGGAGAGACTTTTAATAAACACGACGCATCCTTCCAGAGGTATACCACACAGCCAGGAAAAAGAGTGAGGCAGAAGTAGCCCTACTGATCTGGAAAGGTCCCTGAGATGTGTCGTGCAGATGCTGAGTCACCCACTTGTGGACACAAAACACGCTCCACGCCTGTGTGTGCAGGACATTTAAAAAACAGACATAATTTTATAGACAATAATACAGCTGAAGGCCAACAGAATCACCAGCCTCAGGGCTTGAAGCCTTGTGAGTGCACAGCACCTACGACAGTCAGTGACAACCTCGTAAAGGTTCCCAAGGAGCTTGAAGAGCCGTGAACTTTATCTTGGCCTCCACGACGCAAGTCACACTGTTCCTTTTCCTATTTTGAGATCAACCTCAGACTCTGTGTCCCAGGACACTTGCAACAGAATCCACCGTCATAAACTTGTTCAGCAGAAAAGAGCCATCTGGGAGAAATGCTCTCGGGAACATCTTCTCTGCTGGCAGAAAACAATTCATGCTGACGGTTCCAGGCAGGGTGGCAGAAATGCGGAAGCACGGGTGTATTCTCATAGGGTTAGAAGCTGAGACGTCCGTGTAGAGATATTTGCTGTAATGATGGTAGGAGAAAATAACTGACGACAACTTGCGTGCCCGCTGATCGAAGCCTGGCTAGATGATGGCTCTCCCGCGCATGGGATGCTATGCAAGTACTCACACAAGGTGCGTCTATACCTGTGCTGCTGGGGAAAAACCTCCCAGAGGCACTGTTAGATGGTGAAAAGCAAGATGCTCAGTATTTGTAGCATGCTCCCATTCATGTTTTTGTGGAGGAGATCATACAAATACGGGCACGGGCTTACGTGGCGGCCAGCCTCCAAGATGGCCAGCGCCTGGCGGTCACGCTCGGCGGGGCCCCTGCCCACCTTGAAGACGGCTGACCCGTGTACCCGTGTAACCAGCAGAGGCTATAGACCTCACGCCGTATGGCTTCGAAGACTGGCTCATAACAGACAAACCAGCTTCCCATGTGCCCTCTCTTGGAGAAGCTGACCGTCTTGAGGACACCCCAGAAACCTCGGCAGAGGCCCGCGTGGCGAGGGACTGAGGGCTTTTGTCAACAGCCGTGCGACGGCGCCACCTTGCAAATGAAATAGCTCACGCGGGACTGGTCAGGCCTCCAGATGACGCGGCCCCGGCCTTGGCATGTGGTAAGGAGTCTCGACTGCAGCCTTGCCAGAGCCCCTGAGACGGAATCCCCCGGCGCAGCTGATTCTGGATTCCAGGCCCACAGAAGCGATTCAGATAATACGTGCATCGCTGCATGCTGCTCGCCTTTGGGGGTAGTTTGTTAGGTACTAACAGAGAACTGGTACAGGACTTCTAACACAGTTCCCGGAAAGGACACAAGGAAATGATAAGTAGTTGCCTCGGGGGATAAGAAATTCGACAGGTGGAATAAGAATTGGGAGAAAGGTTTGCTTTTTGTGCTGTATCATTCCGTGACGTTCGCGCTACACTGAAGGGAGGTTTTAACACGTGCATGTCGCAGCTTCAATTTTATAGAGTATACTGGGTTTTTTTTTTTAATGTTTATTTATTTATTATGAGAGAGAGAGAGGGAGAGAGGGGGAGAGAATCCCAAGCAGGCTCTGCACCATCAGGGCAGAGCCCGATGGGGGGCCTGATCTTGGGAACCGTGAGATCAGGACCTGAGCCGAAATCAAGAGTTGGACACTTAACTGAGCCACCAGGAGCCCCTACAAAGAGTACACGGTAGAATGCGCCCAGATAGGACATGAGCATCCAGACAGGACCCAGCTCCCTGCGGTGGGCACGGGGGGCAGGGGGGAGAGCCTGGGAACAGGAAGTGACTTTGCACGCTGTGTTCGGAAGCAGGGCATCACCGCTGGCCATGACGCTTCCGAAACTTTCAGAAGCTTGGCGCGTTTTTCCGACTAAAGCTGCACTCCTGCGGATAATTGGGGCCCTCAGGTGACACACAAGCTCCCGAAATGTGTCACCGGTGCCATGTCAGTTAATTCACGTTTGGAAAAAGGCGCGCGTTGTGCGGCTACGACGAAACGATCTGTTCTGCCTTCACTTGGCGGTCTCTGTGCTCTCGCTGACGTCAGGCTGGCCTCGTGAGTGTTAACAAGAAATATCCCAAACTGTAGCTACACCCAAAAGAGGGACTGTGTGCACGTGCTTTCAATGACCCTGGGAAGCAGTGTCTGAAGGTCCCGCGTGCAATGATGGGTTAATTTCTCAGAGAGGGTACTGTTGTTCACCTTCACTATTTACCAATTAAGAGCTCGTACTCTGGGGGTGCCTGGGTGGCGCAGTCGGTTAAGCGTCCGACTTCAGCCAGGTCACGATCTCGCGGTCCGTGGGTTCGAGCCCCGCGTCAGGCTCTGGGCTGATGGCTCAGAGCCTGGAGCCTGTTTCCGGTTCTGTGTCTCCCTCTCTCTCTGCCCCTCCCCCATTCATGCTCTGTCTCTCTCTGTCCCAAAAATAAATAAACGTTGGAAAAAAAAATTAAAAAAAAAGAGCTCATACTCTATAAAGCTACACTAAATACTACGCGGCTTTAGGCCACAGAGAGAGAAGTACATCATTTCTGTGCAGTGGTGAAGGTTTGTGCCCTGTCGGTGCCCGGATAGCCGGTAAGCTTTATTTCTGGGTGTGTCTGTGAGGGAGTTTCTGGGTGGGATCAATCAGCATTCCAGTCTGATGCAAGCGGGTCCTACCCAATCTGCCGGAAGCCCAGATAGAACAAGAAGGCAGAGGAAGAGCAAATTCACTCTCTCTGTTGAGCTGAGACGGCCCTCTTCCTTCCCCTGTGCCCGGACATCCCAGTGCCTGGTTCTCGGGCTTTCAGGCTCAACCAGCCACTTATGCCAGTCGCCCCTCTGATTCTCAGACCTCCAGACTCAGACTGAAATGCAGCACTGGTTGTTCTGGTGTTTCCAGCCTGCCGACGGCAGACCATGAGACCTCGGGGCCTCCGCACTCACACAAGCCACTCGCCATGATAAATCTCGTCTTAAATGCGTCTCTCCACGTCCCCTGGGTCTTGTCTCTCTGGGGAGCCCTGCCTAACGCACCAGTAGAAAAGATAGCCCCAAAGCTTTGTTCGCTGCCCACTCACTGGACATGAATAGCAAACTAATTCTAATGTTCTGCGTTACATCACCTATTTAACACCCAGTTCCTCAAATGGAATGGTATTTAAGCGGGCTTTAGGATCTTAGTGTTGGATGCAGTTTTTCATGCGTGCCCATTCTGTGTTTGCAAAAGACGTGTATGTTTAACTCCTGAAAGTTACACTTTCAGTGCAGCAGAAGACCTTCAACACCCATCGGTCCCCAACTGGCACGGTTATGTCATTTTAGAAGCTTACTCACAAAGAAGGCCAGAGCAGAAAGACGATTGTGTCCCTCCCAGTTTCGAACCGGATAAACAGGATAAACCGTTTCAGCTGTTTAGTCTGGGGTTGTGCGTGCGTCTGGTTCTCATGGCTTTTGGTGTGTCAACTTTGACGAGAAAGACCGTTACCTTGCAGAAGTCTGCCTCCTCTGTACAGATGAAGGGCCAGTGCTGCCTCCAGGCTCTCGGCCTCAATGAGCTTGGCGATTTCGGACGAGCTTTCCAAGTCGGAGGCATCTTTCAGAATACACACGTGGCCTGCAGCCTCCAGGTGGTCCCTTTATCGACAAATACAAACAGAGGGAGAAAAAAAAAGGAGGTAAAAGATAAATATACCCCAGGCGGCTGCTACGACTGAGATCTTGAATCCAAAGTTTATTTAAGTCAAAAAGTTAAGAAAACGTATTTTCTAAATTGTCCTGTAAGGGGCAATCCTCCCAAAATACAGGACAAGGCTCATAGCCACTGACGACAACCATTCACCCACCAGGGTCCGGTCCCTGGGACTGTGGTCAGGACCAAGGCCAGCGGGTTGAAGGGCTAATTCAGGAAGTCTCTGCAGCCCTGAGACAAAAGACGCGCATTTTTCAGTGGCATTTGCTGTCCCAGAAAGCTCTGTGTTTTATGTCCTTGATTCCGCTTTTTTCTCCTGTCCCTTAATTATGGATGATACCCAAAGTTAGCTTTTAGGCATCTAAAATTCAGCTATTTTTTTAAAGTTTATTTATTTATTTATTTTGAGACAGAGAGAGAGAGAGAGAGAGAGAGCGAGCACAAGCAGGAGGGGGGCAGAGAGAGAGAGAGAGAGACAATCCCAAGCAGGCTCTGCACTGCCAGCACAGAGTCTGACGTGAGGCTCAGACTCATGAACCGTGAGATCATGACCTGAGCCAAACCAAGAGTCAGATGCCCAACTGACTGAACCACCTAGGAGCCCCTAAAATTCAGTTCTTAATAGAGACTTCAAAAGACATTTCATGACCTTTCCATTCTACCTCAAAAATATCTTTCACACGTGTCTTTCTTCTCATCCTAGTTCAGTTCCTTGTAACATAAATCTAGAATATAAATCTGATTTTTAAAAAACTTTGTGAATGACAACAGCATGAGCAAAATCAAAAGACAAACAGAAAAGTGGAAAAAAAACTACTTATAACACTTATAAAAGGAAAGAAGCGAATCTGCTTCATAAATAAAGAGCTCTCATAGATCAATAAGAAGAAAAAAACAGGTAACAACTCGATACCAAAATAGGCATGGACCTAAATCGCAGTGCATAGAAACAGAAATTCAACTGGGGTTCTTAGATACAGGAAATGGTGGCCAACTTTAGTCGTCTTTTTAACAAAGAATATCTGTAAAGATCAAAAGTCTGCCTAAGGCTTTGTGAAATAAACACCCCTCTGCATCATTTCTGAGCAGGTGAACTGGTACAGCCTCTTTGGTGGGCAACGAAGCAACAGCTAGCACATTTAAAATGCACACACTTGGGGCGCCTGGGTGGCGCAGTCGGTTAAGCGTCCGACTTCAGCCAGGTCACGATCTCGCGGTCCGTGAGTTCGAGCCCCGCGTCGGGCTCTGGGCTGATGGCTCGGAGCCTGGAGCCTGTTTCCGATTCTGTGTCTCCCTCTCTCTCTGCCCCTCCCCGGTTCATGCTCTGTCTCTCTCTGTCCCAAAAATAAATAAAAACGTTGAAAAAAAAATTAAAAAAAAAAAATAAAATGCACACACTCGGTGACCAAACACCTCCACTTCCAGGAATTTATTCCAAAAACACACTTGGATGTGAGTGCAAACACATGCATCCATGAAGAGGCTCCTCGGCTGTGTTTCACCTACCAAAAAGCCTGGAAGTGACCTCAGTGTGTGGCAGAGGGGACCGGTTACATGATGGCACGTACAAGACAAGCTCTCCTGCCATTAAAGCTCCCCTGCCCTCGTGCAGTAGACCTCTGCAAAGCACAGTGGAACCCTTGAGCAACATGGGACTTTGGGGTGTCACTCCCGCTCCACACAGTTGAAAATCCATGTATAACGTTGACTCCTCCAAAACTTCCCTGACAGCCTGTTGCTGGCTGGAAGTCTTACTAACAACACACACACACATCGATTAACCCAGAATTTGTATGTTATGCGTAGGATATACCGTATTCTTACAATAAACTAGGGAAAAAAAGATGTAATTCAGAAAATCATAAAGAAGAGGAAATACAGTTACAGTCCTGTACTGTATTTGAAAAAAAAAAAAAAACCC